GAAGCTCGCTATCGTGGCCGAGAGCGTGCGTGAGTGGGACGACTGGCACCTTGACGACCTACTTTCAACACTCATCAAACAATTGGGTGAGTTTCAGTCTTTATCATTTGTCTGTCTTTGTCTTGTCTTTGTTAATTTCCTGTCTGTTATTTTTTTCTGTCTTTGTTAAATTTTTGTCTGGGATTTTCCTGCCTTTGTTATTTCTGTCTTTGTTTAATTTCTGTGTGTTATTTTCCTGCCTTTGTTAATTTTCTGTCTGTGATTTTTCTGTCTATGTTATTTTCTGTCTGTTATTTTTCTTTATTTGTTTAATTTCTGTCTGTTATTTTCCTGCCTTTGTTATTTTCTGTTTTTGTTTAATTTCTGTGTGTTATTTTCCTGCAATTGTTATGTTCTGTCTGTTATTTTTCTGTTTGTTTATTTTTTTCTGTTTGTGTTTGTGTGTGTGTGCGTGTGTTGTCAGGACAGGCACCTTGAATAAGTGCACTGCCGTTCGTCTCTTATTTTTGTTCCTTGTTATTTGTAGCATCATTATAACGATGAAATAATGATGGTATCATTACTATACCGATTATCAGTATCTGTGCTGTTGTTGCTTTTATTTCTTTTGTTAAATTGATTTTGTTACTGTTGTTGTTTTTGTTGCTTTGTTGTTAGTGTTGTTGTTGCTCTTGCTGAAGGTAGTGATGTTTTCCTGTTGTTTGTCCTGCTGTTATTGTTATTATTATTGTCATTATCATTATGGTCAATCATATTATTGTTACCATTATTATCATCATTATTATCATTTCCATTATCATTATTATTATCATTATTATTATTTTATGACTATTATTATTATTATTGTAATTATTATTATTATGGTTATGGGTATTATCGTTATCATTGTAATTGTTATAATTTCTATACCTTTTTTATTTTCATTGTAATTAATGTAATTTATTCATTATTGTTGTTATCATTCTTATTCTCTCTCCCTACTTTTTTCCCGTTCTCTCTCTACATATATCGGTTTGTCTACCTGTGTGTGTGTATAGGAGACTGAGAGAAGAGAGAGAGAGAGAGAGAGAGAGAGAGAGAGAGAGAGAGAGAGAGAGAGAGAGAGAGAGAGAGAGAGAGAGAGAGAGAGAGAGAGAGAAAGAAAGAGAAAGAGAGAGAGGAACTGACGACAGAGAAAACGAAGAACAAAAGAATACACATACGCCATCCTCCTGTCTCCTTCCTTACCTCATTCTCTTCCTTTCTTCTCCCTCTCCTTCGCCCATCATCTATATGCACCCTGGAGAAGAGAGAGGGGAAGGGGAAAGAAAGGTGATGAAGAGGATGGAAGAGTAGACGTAGATTTGCAAAGAGAAGGAATGTGGGTGGATAGGAAGGACGGAAGAGAGATGGAAAGAGGGGAGATGAGGAGGAGGTAGGAGAAGTAGGAAAGATAAGACGGAGGAAGAGGAAGGGGGAAGAAAGGGAGGTAAGAAGGAGGAATAGGAAGGGGAAGGAAGGGAGGTGAGGAGGAAGGGGAAGGAATGGAGGTAAGAAGGAGGAAAAGAAGAGGAAGGAAGGGAGGTGGGGAAAGAGGATGAAGAACAAAGGTGGGGAGGAGAAGGCATGGATATGAAGGATGGTGGTGAAGAGGAAGGCGAAGGAAGGAGGAAAATAAAAAAGAGAGAGAGAGAAAAAAAAAACAGAGGAGACAGCGAAGAGAAATATAAATAAGGAAGAGATGGGGGGGGGGGAAGACGAGAAAAAAGAGGAGGAAGGCGAACGCAGGGAGATGAGGAAGAGAGAAAAAGAGGGTAAGAACAGGAAGGGAGGGGGGGGGGAGGGGGGGATAACTCACCCTTAGCTGAGGGATGTGTGCGAGCGCGTCTTTGAACTGCCATCCCCGTGATTGGTGACACCCTGTTGTTGAAGGGAGCAAAGAGGATGAAAGGAACGGAGAGAAAGGGGGAGGTGGAAGCGAGAGAGTGTGGAGTGACAGCGAGGACGACACGGGAGGGAAGGGGGAGGGGGAGGAAGGGAGGGAAGGGGGAGGAAGGGAAGGGGAGGAAGGGAAGAAGTGGAGGGGGAGGAAGGGAGGGAGGGAAGGGAGAGAGGGAAGGGAAGGGAGGGAGGGAAGGGAAGGGAGGGAAGGAGAAAGGGGGAGGTGGAAGCGAGAGAGTGTGGAGTGACAGCGAGGACGACACGGGAGGGAAGGGGGAGGGGGAGGAAGGGAGGGAAGGGGGAGGAAGGGAGGGAAGGGGAAAGAATGGGAGGAAGGGAGGGGGAGGTGGAAGCGAGAGAGTGTGGAGTGACAGCGAGGACGACACGGGAGGGAAGGGGAGGGGGAGGAAGGGAGGGAGGGGGAGGAATGGGAGGAAGGGAGGGGGAGGTGGAAGCGAGAGAGTGTGGAGTGACAGCGAGGACGACACGGGAGGGAAGGGGAGGGGGAGGAAGGGAGGGAGGGGGATGGGAGGAAGGGAGGGAGGGAGAGAGGGGGAGGAATGGGAGGAAGGGAGGGGGAGGTGGAAGCGAGAGAGTGTGGAGTGACAGCGAGGACGACACGGGAGGGAAGGGGAGGGGGAGGAAGGGAGGGAAGGGGGAGGAAGGGAGGGAAGGGGAAGGAATGGGAGGAAGGGAGGGGGAGGTGGAAGCGAGAGAGTGTGGAGTGACAGCGAGGACGACACGGGAGGGAAGGGGAGGGGGAGGAAGGGAGGGAGGGGGATGGGAGGAAGGGAGGGAGGGAGAGAGGGGGAGGAATGGGAGGAAGGGAGGGGGAGGTGGAAGCGAGAGAGTGTGGAGTGACAGCGAGGACGACACGGGAGGGAAGGGGGAGGAAGGGAGGAAGGGAGGGGGAGGTGGAGGAAGGGAGAGAGGGGGAGGAATGGAAGGAAGGGGAGGGAGGGAGGGAAGGGAGAGAGGGGGAGGAATGGGAGGAAGGGAGGGGGAGGTGGAAGCGAGAGAGTGTGGAGTGACAGCGAGGACGACACGGGGGGGAAGGGGAGGGGGAGGAAGGGAGGGAAGGGGAGGGGGAGGAAGGGGAAGGAAGGGGAGAGGGGGAGGAAGGAAGGGAGGGAAGGGAGGGGGAGGGGGAGGACAGGGGGAGGAAGGGAGGGAAAAGGGGAGGAAGGGAGGGAAGGGAAGGGAGTGAGGGAGGGAGGGGGAGGAATGGGAGGAAGGGAGGGGGAGGTGGAAGCGAGAGAGTGTGGAGTGACAGCGAGGACGACACGGGGGGGAAGGGGAGGGGGAGGAAGGGAGGGAAGGGGAGGGGGAGGAAGGGGAAGGAAGGGGAGAGGGGGAGGAAGGAAGGGAGGGAAGGGAGGGGGAGGGGGAGGACAGGGGGAGGAAGGGAGGGAAAAGGGGAGGAAGGGAGGGAAGGGAAGGGAGTGAGGGAGGGAGGGGGAGGAATGGGAGGAAGGGAGGGGGAGGTGGAAGCGAGAGAGTGTGGAGTGACAGCGAGGACGACACGGGAGGGAAGGGGAGGGGGAGGAAGGGAGGGAGGGGGAGGGGAGGAAGGGAGGGAGGGGGAGGGGAGGAAGGGAGAGAGGGGGAGGAAGGGAGGGAGGGAAGGGAGGGGGAGGGGGAGGAAGGAAGGGAGGGAAGGGAAGGGAGGGAGGGAGGGAGGACAGGGGGAGGAAGGGAGGGAAGGGAGGGAGGGAGGGAGGGAAGGAAAGGGAAGGGAGGGAGGGAGGGAGGGAGGGGGAGGTGGAAGCGAGAGAGTGTGGAGTGACAGCGAGGACGACACGGGAGGGAAGGGGAGGGGGAGGAAGGGAGGGAAGGGGAGGGGGAGGAAGGGAGGGAGGGGGAGGGGAGGAAGGGAGAGAGGGGGAGGAAGGGAGGGAGGGGGAGGGGGAGGAAGGAAGGGAGGGAAGGGAAGGGAGGGAGGGAGGGAGGACAGGGGAAGGAAGGGAGGGAAGGGAAGGAAGGGAGGGAGGGAGGGAGGGAAGGGAGAGAGGGGGAGGAATGGGAGGAAGGGAGGGGATGGAAGCGAGAGAGTGTGGAGTGACAGCGAGGACGACACGGGAGGGAAGGGGGAGGAAGGGAGGTAAGGAAGGGGAGGAAGGGAAGGGAGGGAGGGAGGGAGGGAGGGGGAGGAAGGGAGGAAGGATGTGAGGGAAGGGGAGGAAGGTAGGGAGGGGAGGGGAGGAAGGGAGAGAGGGGGAGGAAGGGAGGGAAGGGGAGGAAGGGAGGAAAGGGGAGGAAGGGAGGGAAGGGGAGGGAGGGAGGAAGGGTGGGAGGGGGAGGAATGGGAGGAAGGGAAGGTAGGGAGGGAGGGAGGGAAGGGGAGGGAGGGAGGGAGGGAGGGAGGGAGGGAGGGAAGGGAGGGAGGAATGGGAGGAAGGGAGGGAAGGGGGAGGAAGGGAGGGAAGGGGAGGAAGGTAGGGAGGGGAGGGGAGGAAGGGAGAGAGGGGGAGGAAGGGAGGGAAGGGGAGGAAGGGAGGAAAGGGGAGGGAGGGAGGAAGGGAGGGAAAAGGGGAGGAAGGGAGGGAGGGGGAGGGGAGGAAGGGAGGGAAGGGAGGGAGGGAGGGAGGGGGAGGAATGGGAGGAAGGGGAGGGAGGGAGGGAGGGAGGGGGAGGAAGGGAGGAAGGATGTGAGGGAAGGGGAGGAAGGGAGGGAAGGGGAGGAAGGAAGGGGAAGGGAAGGGGAGGAAGGGAGGGGAAAGAAGGGAGGGAAGGGGAGGAAGGGAAAGGAGAGAGGGAAGGGAGGAAAGGGAAAGAAGGGAGGGAAGAGGAGAAAGGGAGGGAGGGGAGGAAGGGAGGGAAAAGGGGAGGAAGGGGGGGAAGGGGAAGGGTGAGGGGAGAGGAAAGGAGGGAGGGGAGAAGGGGAGGAAAGAAAGAAGAAGTAGGTGGAGGAGGAAGAAACGGCGGGAGGAAGTGGAGGAGATAACGGAAGGATGAAAAAGAGGAGAGGAAATGATTGAAGAGGTGGAAGAGAAGGAAAGGAAAGGAGTAAAGAATAAAGAAAAGATGGAAGAAGATTAAAAAGAGGGAGTAAAGAAAGAAAGAAAAAAGAAAGAGGAGGAGAAGGCGGAAAAAATAAGAAGAGTAAAAAGGAGAGGAATGTGAGGAGAAAGAAGAGATAAATGGAAAGAAAGAGGAGAAAAGAAGATGGAGGAGGGAGGAGCACTAAGGATGGAAAAAAGAAGAGGGAGAAGAGGGGAAGAGAGAAAAGAGAAGAAACACTGAAGACTATAGGAGAAGGAATAACATATATAAAAAAGAAGACGAGACGGGGGGAGGGAAAAAAAAGATAAAGAAGTGATAAAACAACTGAAAATAAAAACCAAAAGAGGAAGGAGAGAGAGACAGAGAGGGTTGGTGGGGGGGGGGAGAAGTGAAACAAACAAACAAACAGACAAGCAAACAGACATACAGATAGACAGAAAGAGAAAGAGAGATTCGGAGAATAACTAGCATACCAAGTTTATCATGCTGTAGATGCTCCACCTCCAACGTAAATAGATCAGTACAGGCAAAGGCAGATCTTCAATTCGACCTGATATCCAGAAGGCCCGAGGGAAACAGGCCAGCTGGTGTTTGTGTTCGATAACAGGATTAACAATAAAACGAAACAATAAACCGATATAATGAAGATATCTATAACTGGATCAGAACCCGTGATCTGCGTGATTAAGGTTTGTATTGGAGGTTCGGTGGTCATTCCGTTTTCTATCTATGGCTCTTTCTCGTTTTCTGTTGTTGTTGGTGGTGTGTTCTTTCGCGCGATCTCTCTTGTCTTGTTTCTCGCTCTTGCTCTTGCTCTTTTTTTATCTTTCTTTCTTTCTTTCTTTCTCTCTTTCTTGTTCTTTCTTTCTCTCTTTTTCTATGTACTCTCTCTCTCTCTCTCTCTCTCTCTCTCTCTCTATGTACTCTCTCTCTCTCTCTCTCTCTCTCTCTCTCTCTCTCTCTCTCTCTCTCTCTCTCCTCTCTCTCTCTCTCTCTCTCTCTCTCTCTCTCTTCTCTCTCTCTCTCTCGCTCTCTCGCTCTCTCTCTCTCCTTCTCTCCCTCTCCCTCTCTCCCTCTCTCTCTCTCTCTCTCTCTCTCTCTCTCTCTCTCTCTCTCTCTCTCTCTCTCTCTCAATCCCTCTTTCCCATTCTCATAATCTCCCCTTCAATCCCATCTCCCCTCTCCTCCCTCCCTTCACATCCCCTCCCCTTATTTCCACCCTACCCCCCACCCCCCTCTTCCCTTCCCCAACCCCACCTCCTCTCCTCTCCTCCTCTCCTCCTCGCCTTTCATTTCCCATTGCCATTAGCAGGAGATTCAGACTCCAATAAATATTCCAGCCCTCGCCGTGACCTCGCCTCGGAGTTAATTTGCGCACGCCTCGGTAAACGACGACGGACTCGGGCAGCGGACGGTTATGGTAATGGGAAAGTTAAAAGGCGAAATTTCCAGGCGGCCATTTGGAGGGAGCGAGAGAGAGGGGGTGGTGGAAAGGGCGATGTGGGAGGAGGGGTGGGGTTGGAGGGAGGGAGGGGTGGGAGGTGGGAGGTGGGAGAAGGGGTATGGGGGTTGGAGGTGGAGGTGGGAGGGGGTGGAGGGGGAGGGGGGAGAGGGGGTGTGGGGGTGGAGATGGAGGTGGGAGGGGGAGGGGTTGGAGGGTGGAGATGGAGGTTGGAGGGGGTGGGGGTAGAGGTGGGAGTGGAGGGTGGAGATGGGAGGTGGGAGGGGGTGGGGTGGGGGTGAAGGTAGGAGAGGGGGTGTGGGGGTGGAGATGGAGGTGGGAGGGGGAGGGGTTGGATGGTGGAGATGGAGGTGGGAGGGGGGGGTAGAGGTGGGAGTGGAGGGTGGAGATGGAGGTGGGAGGGGGAGGGGTTGGAGGGTGGAGATGGAGGTGGGAGGGGGAGGGGTTGGAGGATAGAGAAGGAGGTGGGAGGGGGTGGGGGTTGGAGGGTGGAGATGGAGGTGGGAGGGGGAGGGGTTGGAGGGTGGAGATGGAGGTGGGAGGGGGAGGGGTTGGAGGATAGAGAAGGAGGTGGGAGGGGGTGGGAGTTGGAGGGTGGAGATGGAGGTGGGAGGGGGAGGGGTTGGAGGGTGGAGATGGAGGTGGGAGGGGGTGGGGGTTGGAGGGTGGAGATGGAGGTGGGAGGGGGTGGGGGTTGGAAGGTGGAGATGGAAGGGAGAAGGGGGGTTGGAGGGTAGAGATGAAAGGGGGGAGTGGAGATGGAGATGAGGGGAGGGGAGGAGGGCGAGGGTGTAGAGAGGCAGAGGATAATGGGGAATGGAGAGGGCTATAGGGATAAAGAGGGGAGAAGAAGGAATAGGGGGAGAAGTGAAGGGGGAATGGGAAGTGGGGTGAAGGGAGAAGGGGTAGAGAGGGGTTTGAGGAGGGGGACATCATTATTATTATTATCATCATCATCATTTTTGTTATTTTCATCATTATAATCATCATAAGTAGTAAAAGTATTAGTGCTGTTATTACATTATATTTTTATTATTTTTATTATTTTATTGTTATTATTATTATTGTTATTATCATTATTATTATCATTATTATGATTATTATCATTATTATTA